AGCGTGGCACTGGGACTGAGGACATTGGGTTGCCAGCTTTGTATAGTGCACTGCTGCTTGCTCTCTGCAGAATCAAACCTTTGGTCTTGGTTCAGAGATCTTGCAAAAGTGCATGTGAATACAGGATTTTGTGGAACTATGTGTTAGCTCAGTGCAATTTCTGCTTACAAAGTTGAATATTTTTACTATCCACTTACTTCTAAATCATTTGAGGGTAAAGATGTTTAATTATGTCAGCAGTCAAACTTGAGACTGTGTCACCTGTATTTGGCTGTAATACTTAGAAACTCAGGGGCACAATCAAATATGAATGACAGGAAGACTAAGAATAATATAGCTTACTAGAAATTTTCTCAGCATTCAGTTGAAGGGTCCAGGTGCAGCCAGTTTGCCAGCTTAAAAAGAACCACAAATGTTTCAATCTCATGTCTCTCACTTTATTTTGTAGATAATACCTGTATATTATTGAAGAACAGGTGGAAAATGATACCTAACTCAATAAAAAACAAAACCAAGTAGTTCTTTTGGTTCTTCTGGTCATTTTTTCTTGTACTACGTCTTGCAGCCATTAATTTCCCTATTTGCATTAAGGTTAAACCACAAAGAGATAATCTTGAATCCTGGCCCTGTTTAATCCAGTATTTAGTCAAGTGAAGTTTCTCTGTCTATACAGTAGGATGAAATCAGAATTAAGTGCAAAATATTCGTACAAATTTCTCTGCTGTGCATGGGATGAGGAACTAAAAAGCAGCTTGCAAAGCAAGCTACATCCAAAGACGGTAATTCCATATGATAAGTTTTGTACCAATGTCACATACAGCCAGTTAGAAACTACTTCAAAATCAGAGGCATCAAATTTCATACTATTTCATGTCAAAGATGCATGGCTGAAAAATTCCTATTAAAAACATGAAAACATGCCAAATGCAGAAAAACGAACAACTGAGCAAAAAGTGAGGCAAAGTGTTACTAATGTCTGCCAACTGGTATTATTCACAAGTACCATCAATCGCACATGAGCAACCTCCACTGCTGCTCCCCCAGAACAAGAAAACCCAGCTCACCCCTAACTTCTTGTAGTGTAGTTGTCCTGTTTGTGGCTAATGCTCTTCTCTATTGTTCAGAGATTTCCTCTAGTTCTGTGAATCTGTTTTAACCCTAGCCAGTCACATTGAAGCTGACAGTAAAAGGGAAGAAAAAGCTATTCAATTAAAACATCTTTAGTGCTATTTAGAATGCAGATGAGCCCCTCAGCAATGAGGAAATTAGTATTTTATGGTGAAGCATTTATATAGTTTATTCTATATTTGAACCATAATAAATTACATCCATTTTTTTACAAGAATTATAACTGACATGCTGTCAGAGCTGTACATGTACAGCCCTAGAAATATACATAATACTTTGAAAGCTGTCACATTCGGTACAGTTGTAAACATCACCCTGGGTTACCAAACTGTTATCTTTAGGTTTACTTCTTCGGATAAACCATGGGATCTTTGCACATTTCAACCAGAGAAAAATCAATTCTCTCTCAAACAGTTGCACAGTAGTTTGCCAGCCGTGCTTAAGTGCACAGCCTCATACTAGCGGAATTCTAGTGTGTGTCTGTTTGCAAAATATCCACAGTCATGGACTTTTTAGTTTGGTCTGGGGAAACACTAGAGTAACTCATTGTCCTCCCTCATGCTGGCATTTTTCAACCCAAAAACGCCACTACGGTTCTAAATGAATAATTTTGCTGAAGACTATTTAGATGTATGTACTGCATTGCAATGCTATTACTACGGTGTCACTTCTGTAGACTGATGCTTACAAAATGCTTCTACTGTGTATAAAGTTTACAGCTCTTAATAAATCTGTTGAATTGTTTAAAAATATTGTTGGAGAATGATAGCTTTGTCATGGGATCCTCTAGGAGGGTTCAAGTTCTACAGGAATACTATTATTCTTGATTACGCTCTTTAGGATGCTGAAATTAAGTTACCTCAGATGTTTCCTTATAACTGAAATATTTTTATTTTACTCCCTTGTATACATTCTTTCCTGTTTCAAGGTAGAAACCAAATGCAAAAACAATAAGGGTTTCCTCCTGGATATTTAATATAACTAATTAATAAACTACCTTGGCCTTGAATGAAGAGGATTTTAAACGGAGCTGTGATTCAGCTGCAGAAAGTGTGGTTAAATTGTGTCACCTCTGCCTCCAGAAGAATTTGGCCAGGATCCTGCATTGAGTTATCTGCCCCAAAACAAACCCAAGGGCTTCACTGGGTCTCAGACTGCTGCAGGGGTCCGGCAAGACTTGCTGGGCTAGATGAAGCTAACTTTGGGGGGAAAAAATGCTTTAACAGCTATTTCCATTGGGGTTTTATGTCCTGAAGAGAGCCTGGGGCTTTGTGACTGGTGGCATAGTGTGTTGTTTCTGCCCATTAGGTAGCACAAGTGGGGGCAGGTGCTGATGGCTCTATCTAAAAGAGGTTTCTGGGTCTGGCTGAAG